ATGGTTTTCAAAACCATTAAGGTTTTTTCTCTTTCCATTTTCTTTTTTTTAAGTGGATGGATTTTAACAGCTTTATTGAGATATAATTCACATACTAAATATTTTGTTTGTTTCTACTTTTTGGCTATTATGAACAAAGCTGCTATGAAGATTCATGTACAAGTTTTTGTGTAGGCATATGTTTTCATTTTTCTTGGATATAGACCTAGGAGTAGAGTTGCTGGGTCATATGGTTCTATGTATATCCTTTTTAGGGACTGCCAGACTGTTTTCTTTCTTTCTTTTTTTTTTTTAAAAGATGACCGGTAAGGGGACCTTAACCCTTGACTTGGTGTTGTCAGCACCACGCTCACCCAGTGAGCTAACCGGCCATCTCTATATGGGATCCGAACCCGTGGCCCTGGTGTTATCAGCACCGCACTCTCCCGAGTGAGCCACGGGCCGGCCCCAGACTGTTTTCTAAAGTGGCTACACAATTTTACATAACCACCAGCAGTGTATGAAGGTTCTAGTTTCTCCAAATCTAATGCTTGTTATTTTATTTTATTATAGCTGTCCTAGTAGGTGTAAATTGTTATCTCATTTTGGTTTTTACTTACATTTTCCTGGTGGCTAATGATGTTGAGCATCTTTTTATGTGTTATTGGTCATTTGCATATCTCCTATGAAGAAAAATATATTCAATTTATCTGTTTTGAAATTAGATTAGTCTTTTTATCATTGAGTTGTAAGAGTTCTTTATATAATTCTAGATACAAGTCCTTTGTGAGAGATATGATGTGCAAAATTTTTCTCCCATTTTATGGGTTTTCTTCACTTCATGCTATTCTTAGAAGCACATAAGTTTAAATTTTAATGTTCAATTAATTTTTTTCTTTTATCACTGTGCTTCTAGTTTCATAATTAAGAAACCATTGCTTAGTCCAAAGTTATGAAGATTTATGCCTGTGCTTTTTTCTAAGAGTTTTTTATATTTTAGCTCTTATATTTAGGTCTTTGATCCATTTTGATTTAATTTTTATATATGGTAAGAGGTAAGGTTCCATCTTTATTCTTTTGCATTTGCCTATCTTGTTGTACTTTAACACCATTTGTTGAAAATACCATTCTTTCCCTCATTGACTTGTCTTTGCACCTTTGTTAAGTCAGTTAACTGTAGATGTGAGGGTTTATTTTTGGGCTCTCAATTCTGTTCATTTAGCCTTCTGTCAGTACTGCACTGTCTTGATTATTGTAGTTTTGTTGTTGTAAGTTTTGAAATCAGAAAGTGTGAGTGAGTACTCCAAATTTGATCTTCTTTTAAAAGTTGGTTTGGCTATTCTGGGTGCCTTGAATTTAAAGTACCAATTTTTTTTTTTTTTGTGACCGGTAAGGGGACCGCAACCCTTCGCTTGGTGTCGCCTGCACCGTGCTCAGCCAGTGAGCGCACCGGCCATTCCTATGTAGGATCCGAACCCACGGCGGGAGCATCGCTGCACTCCCAAGCACCGCACTCTCCCGAGTGCGCCACGGGGCCGGCCCTAGGGTGCCTTGAATTTAATATGAATTTTAGATTCAGTTTGTTAATTCCTGCAAGAAGTCAGCTGGGTTTTTGATAGGACCTGCACTGAATCTGAGATCAATTTGAGGAGTATTGTCATCTTAACAATATTGTCTTTTGTTTTTTTTTTTTAAGATGACTGGTGAGGGGATCTTAACCCTTGACTTTGTGTTGTCAGCACCACACTCTCCCAAGTGAATGAACCAGCCATCCCTATATAGGAATCCAAACCCTTGGCCTTGGTGTTATCAGCACCACACTCTCCCATGTGAGACACGGGCCGGCCCTTAACAATATTAAGTCTTTTAATTCATGAACATTGGATATCTTTCCTTTTATTTAGTTCTTCTTTAATTTCAACAATGTTTTATAGTTTTCAATTTCTTACACTTGGTTGGTTAAATTTATTTATTTATTTATTTTTGGCATCTGGTCAGGTATGGGGGATCTGAACCCTTGACCTTGGTGTTACAAGGCTGTGCTGTAACCAACTGAGCAAACCAACCAACCCTGTTGGTTAATTTATTCTGAAGCAATTTATACCTTTTGACTGTATTGTAAATTGAATTGTTTTCTTAATTTCATGTTCAGATTATTCATTACTAATGTGTAGAAATACATTTGATTTTTGGATGTTGCTCTTGTGTCCTGCAACCTTGCTGCACTTTGTAGTTTAATAGTATTTTTTTGTGGATTTCTTAGGATTTTCTATACATGAGATTATGTCATCTATAAATAAAGATTGTTTTGCTTCTTAAATTTGGACTAAATCTGGTTACCTTTTATTTCATTTTCTTTTCTAATTGCCATGGCTAGAACCTCCAGTACAATGTTGAATAGAAGTGGTAAGAGTGGACTTCCATGTCTTATAAAGCATAAGGATTTTGATTCTCATTTCTGATGAATTTCAAACTTTGGTGATATTTCAGATTCCTTTCACCTTCTTTATGATCTTATTTGGGCCTATATAATATAGAAAGTGAACTTTTTGAGAGCACTTTCTGTTGCTAATTTTTCTATATGGCTGTGAAATAAAAAGGTTTTAGTTCCAAAGTAATTGCTTATCAGTAATAAGTTACCTTAGTTTTTTATGCATAAATTTGAAATTTTTTTGTATTTATTATCTACTAAGGTCCTGCGTTATGGATCCAAACCCTAGAGGTCATGTTCCTGGTCTTACAGAATTTATTTTGAGGTGACTCAGGATAAAAAGCAAACCATCGTTGTAATACACTGATAGAAATGAAAGATAAACAATATTGGATGAGCCCATAACCCAATCATCCTAATTTATCTTAACCAGTTATGGACCTTTTTGTGAATAAACCTATGTTTTTTTTGTGTGTGTGTTTTTTTTAAAAGATGACCGGTAAGGGGATCTTAACCCTTGACTTGGTGTTGTCATCACCACACTCAGCCAGTGAGCTAAGCAGCCATCCCTATATGGGATCCGAACCCGGGGTCTTGGTGTTATCAGCACCACACTCTACTGAGTGAGCCATGGGCCAGCCCTCATTTGCAAAAGATTGTCCCTGGTTTTAGTATTTAAGGATTTCATTTAAGTTCAGATCAACAAACATACATTGACTATAATGTGCTGACACTATACTGGTACTAGGATGAGAAGCTCATTAAGACTCTGTCCTCAAAAAGTTCACTTGCTAACATTGATGAATAATCAATGTTCACTTTTTAGGATTTTATTTTATTTATTTTTAACATATTTTTTTGAGGCCGGCCAGTAAGGGGATTGAACCCCTGGTGGGTATTAGCACCATGCTCAAACCAACTGAGCTGACTGGCAGCTCACTTTTTATGATTTTAAAAACTTTATTATGTGCTTTATATGCAGATTGAAAACCTATTCTTTTATTACCTGGCTACTTGTTCTTTTCTCTCCTGATTACTTCTTAGGACCTTTATTAGCTTTTCTGTTTCTTGGTATATTCCCTGAAGTAGGACACTACTAGTCATTTTGTCTGTAACAGCTTATTGAAATTTCTTCAGGGGACAATGTATATGAGGAGTTAGCATACATACTTTTTGTGTAAAGGGCCAGATAGTAAATATTTTTGGCCTTGTGGGCCAAACAAATGGAAATATCATTCTTCATTCTCAGGCTATACAAAAATAGGGTATAGCTCCCAACTCCAGGTCCAGACCACGTTTTTGAAAATATGTTCTGCAGATTACTGACTCCACTGGATGATACTTGAAAACAGGATTCCATGGTCAAATAAGTTTGGCAAGTGTTATAGGCTATATCATTGTCTTGGGAATTTTTAAGCCTCATTAGCATATTAAAGGATTTAAAAAGCCCTTTGGACTCTACACTTTAGCATCATACCCCCACTTTTTGACAATTTTTTGCTTCAAGTTACATCTTTTAAAAAGCCCTTTGAGGGCCGGCCCGTGGCTCACTCGGTAGAGTGCGGTGCTGAAAACACCAAGGCCATGGGTTCGGATCCCATATAGGGATGGCCGGTTCGCTCACTGGCTGAGCGTGGTGCTGACAACACCAAGTCGAGGGTTAAGATCCCCTTACCGGTCATCTTTTTAAAAAAAAAAAAAAAAAAAAAAAAAGCCCTTTGAGGGGCCAGCCCGTGGCTCACTTAGGAGAGTGTGGTGCTGATAACACCAAGGCCACAGGTTTGGATTCCTATATAGGGATGGCCTTTTGGCTCACTTGGGAGAGCGTGGTGCTGACACCATCAAGTTAAGGGTTAAGATCCCCTTACCGGTCATCTTTTAAAAAAAAAAAAAAAAAAAGCCCTTTGGTATGCAATCATCTTCCTCCTTGGAGCCTTGTGTTTCTTTTGTTTTGCTTTGTTTCATTTTGTGTTTCATGAATGTAGTTTCTCAGAATGCTGTATTTCATGGACGTAGTTTCTGAGAATGCTGGCCTATACGTCTGTATGGCCTAAACAGACAGTCTCTGACTTAATGATAGTTTGACTTATGATTTTTTTTTTTTTTTTTTTTAAAGATGACCGGTAAGGGGATCTTAACCCTCGACTTGGTGTTGTCAGCACCACGCTCAGCCAGTGAGCGAACCGGCCATCCCTATATGGGATCCGAACCCGTGGCCTTGGTGTTATCAGCACCGCACTCTACCGAGTGAGCCACAGGCCGGCCCCTTGACTTATGATTTTTTGACTTTATAATGGGTTTATTGGGACGTAACCCCGTTGTAAGTTGAGAGGCATCTGTATATGATTTCTAGATCATCTCCTGATCATAATTTATAATCAGACATGTTTTTCATTATTTTCCTCTAAATTCACTACTTCGCCATGCCTTCTCAAAGGTTCATTTAAAAATGTTCTATATACTTATCTGACTGGATTGCAAGTTTAAAATTTCAACATGTAAAAAAGAAACAGAATATCTGATTTCTCAGTATTTTTCTTTATTGTCATTTTATGACACTGCTAACATATTTATTTTCTCTCTTAACCAGGAAAAGTGGGTTGAAGTTGCCTCAATGAAAGTGCCTAGAGCAGGCATGTGTGTTGTGGCAGTCAATGGTCTTCTGTATGTTTCTGGAGGTCGATCTTCCAGCCATGATTTCCTGGCCTCAGGTACCTTGGACTCAGTTGAAGTTTATAACCCTCATTCAGATACATGGACAGAAATTGGTAACATGATCACCAGTCGTTGTGAAGGGGGTGTTGCTGTACTATGAAATATAAAGTGTAAGAGAGCACAAGGAAATCTCCCAAGTCAAACATATTTGGTGATAGGACCCTCTGATTCTATTGCATTTCCATGTATTTGGTAGATAAATGACTAAAGAGTGATTTTTCTAAAAATTTGAGTGAGAAGGGATATGGAATGTATCCAAAATTAATAAAGAGCTCACGCAAATTTGCCAACCTTACCAACAATAGAAATGCTGTTTATGCTCTAGTATTGTCCAGTTAAGTGTAGAGTACTATTTATAAAAAATTGCCAACTTCTTGGCAAATATCCCCTTTAGCTACTTCTCCAGCAATTGCTTTTTAGCAATTCAAGTTGTTACATAACCTTTATGTGATGTGGGAATAATATCATGAGACAGTTTAAAGATTTCTGTACATTCATGATTTGATCCAGAGCACAATTTTCTATGGCCATAGTTTAACCTACAGAGAAAAGCTGTTTAGGTTCCTACTTTAATATGATACCAGGAGTTTTCACTAGCCCTAAACTTTTTATTGGCAGCAGCTATATTAGGAGGGGTGTGGGGGACATAGCTAGTTATTTATATAGATGGTAAGTTTTTGCTTGCTGATAACAGCCTAAGAAAAGGTTTTGCTCACTCTTATTTTTTGTTTTGATTCTGAGAATGCAAGTAAGAAATTAATCAGAGGATCTTAGTGACAGTTCTTAATTGTAATAAGATATAATGGGTGACAGAGCCCAGCAGTCTGTATTATGTACCTAGAAATTTCTTTCTTATTTTCTAGATAGTAACCAAAATGATCTGTTTGGCTTTAGGAAGAGGTAATTTTATTAGATTAACAAGCTTTGTGAAATTTACTTATACTTGGGCAGGCTTAAGTATGAGCTTACTACAAAGCTACTGCCTGGTTTGGAGAAGGCTGAATTGTAGGTATCTGTGAAACTTTTTATAGACAGTGACTCATAAGTGTAAGTTGAAAGCCCCCCCCCCCCGATCCCAAACTGCTTCTCAAAACATCTCATTTTCCCCCTGAGAAGTATTCTAAAGAATTGTTCTCTGTTCAGTTCTGAGAGGAAGATTCATTGTGTGTATGATCATTACTTTTAAGTTATTTCTACTAGTCAGTTGGAGCCATATATTTTAAAGGTATTGCATATATTAAGGTTTAACTAGCTAACTTAAAGATTTAATTTCCCATTTCTTTACAAAGGTCTTTCAGTATATTGTTATAAACATCAGCAGCTTATTTGGACAGAAAACCTTTGGTCAGCATTAGAGACTCATGTAGCACTCATATCTAAAATATTTGGTTTGGCCCACAAGGATACTTTCTTTCATAACTATATGCATGTATTTGGAAAAGCTTATGTAGGACAAAGTTCTGTGTCATCTTTTCCGGGGTATCCTGAAAGTCTGAAGGATCACAGATGCCTGATAGAGTTCTATAAGATGTCAAAGAATGAAGTATCAAGACAACTTGTAGGGCCGGCCCGGTGGCGCACTCGGTAGAGTGCGGCGCCTGGGAGCGCGGCGGTGCTCCCGCCGAGGGTTTGGATCCCATATAGAGACCGGTCTGCTCACTGGTGCGGGCGCGACACTGAGGGTTGCGATCCCGTTGCCGGTTGCAGTACGGGCGCGACACCGAGGGTTGTGATCCCGTTACTGGTCATGAAAAAAGACAAAAAGGAAAAAAAAAAAAGACAACTTGTTGACTATTTAAGTTCTAACTCATATGCCTTTAATATTTCTAGTTAGAGATTCTGCATTCTGGTTCAAAACAGATTTACAAAATACTCCTACAATCTAATTCTCATTATTGCCTAGTACCAACCTAAAATGGCATTGTGAAGGGAGGTGTTTTACACTGCTGTGGCTGAAATGTAATGTCAAAACAATCAGTGTTTGGGTATAACATCCAGAAGATCCCTGAAAATAGGTAACTGCAAATATTCCTATATTTCCTAGATAATAACAGATTGTTTTTAAAAGAATGTATTAATAAAGTATCTAGATTTTTTTTTCTTTGTATTACTTACTTAGTTTATTAGCAGCATTCCTGGATTACCACACTGTAGTAGGATTGCACACATTCTTTGTTTTAACTTTAGGTACTTGCACATTTAGTTCAACATTTAATTCTGCTTTCTGAACAGCTATTAAAGTGATGTTCCTCCAAAATGTTTGACAATATGCTTCTAAATATCCTGTCCAATATACTTAATCAAATGACCTTAAAAATCACTTATTTTGAAGAATACATTGTAATTCACATGCAAAATAGCATTTCTTTTTTTTTTTTTAGTGAAATTAGGCAATTAGTCTAAAAAAATATGACTTGCTTCTATTCTAGAGGATAATGCATTTGAGATTAGGGAAAAGTTTTAAGTTTGGATAGCACCCATGCAACATAGAAGCAAAGAAGTGAGTTCCTTTATCAAAACACTTAATCTGAGCAGAATCTGAGGAAGATCTGAAGAGTATGAGCTTGCTTTCCTTCCATATCAACCTGTAGTGGTAGACTATTTTCTATATTAACAAAAAAAGATCCTATAGTGGTTTCAGCCATGGACTTTAACTGGTAAGCTTCTCAATGATAAGAATTAGGTCTAGCTCTATTATGTTGTATTAATTTGCTAGTACTGCTGTTAACAAAGTGCCACAGAAATTTGAACAGAAATTGTTCCACAGTTCTAGGTGCTTGAATTCCAAGAAGTATGAAATCAAGATGTTGGCAGGGTTAGTTCCTTCTGAGTGCTGTGAGGGAAGGATGTGTTCCATGCCTCTCTCCTTGGTGTATACATGGCCATCTTTGTGTTCACATGGCGTTCTCCCAATATATGTGTCTATCTCCAAATTTTCCCGTTTTATAAGAAAACAGGTCATACTGGATTAGAGCCTACCCTAATCAGCTCATACTAACCTTATAACCTCTGTATCTCCAAATAAGGTCACATTCTGAGGTACTAGGGGTTAGAACTTCAACACACAATTCAACCCATAATAGATGTATAAGAAAGTAGTCATTACTGTAGACTGATAAATCTCTTCACAACAAGAATCACTATAGTGGAAATCATGTATTGAATTTACTTATAGTGATACGTATATAGTATACAAAGATAACATATTCTAAGTGATACCATTTCCTCTGATTTATATTCCATTTAAAATGTTCTTCCTGGGCCGAGCCCGTGGCGTGCTCAGGAGGGTGCGGCGCTGGGAGCGCAGCGGCGCTACCGCCGCGGGTTCGGATCCTGTATAGGGATGACCAGAGCGCTCACTGGCTGAGCGCGGTGCGGCCGGTCTCAAAAAGGACAAAAAAAAAAAAAATGTTCTTCCTTTTTGTGATTAGGAATTTCAAGAGACTACGTTTTCAAGTTAAAATACAAGGTACTGCTTTTGCTGTTTTAAAAAAACTTCTCTGTGAGTTAAAGATGTAGACTAGATAGGCCTGCTCATTAGAATATCAAGATAACTCCAGCTTGACATTTCTTTTCTAATTTATATATACTAATGGTTTTATTATTATTATTTTTTAAAACTATTTTTGACCAGCTAGTGTTACATGTTTGGTGATAAGGACATAAGTTGCAACTATACCATACCAAATATCCTGACAAATATTGGAAAATGTATCTAGCTCTTTTTGAACATTGCTTTCCCTTCTGAAACTGCTTCCTACTGACTTTAGAGCTACAGCCCCTCTCAGCTTATATAACTAGGTTATACCAGGTAGAATAAAGCTTGGACATGGAATTCCCAGGGACAACTGCTGTGATAACTCCACACTGGAACGACCTTTTATTTTCAGACAATCATAGATACGAGGTTTTCCTCTTGCAGTAGAAGGGTATGCTCTTTTTAATGATCATAAGGCTCTAACAAAGGGGTTTTTTCATCTTTTTTTGACATTTTTCAAGACAATTAAAACATTGAAATCAAAGAGACTTATAACTAATATGACATGAAAATAATGTCAGATTTTTTTAAGCTCTTGCTCAAGTAATTAGTATGGAATAATAATTTCTAAAAATGAAAAACCAACGGAAAATGTGGTATATCTACACAATGGAATACTACTCAGCTATAAAAACGAATGAAATACTGCCATTTGCAACAACATGGATGGACCTTGAGAGAATAATATTGAGTGAAACGAGTCAGACAGAGAAAAAGAAATACCACATGTTCTCACTCATCGGAGGGAGCTAAAAAACAAAAATAGCCGAGAGTTGGAACCAGCCCAAATGTCCCTCATTGGATGAGTGGATATGGAAAATGTGGTATATCTACACAATGGAATATTACTCAGCTATAAAAACGAATGAAATACTGCCATTTGCAACAACATGGATGGACCTTGAGAGAATAATATTGAGTGAAACGAGTCAGGCAGAGAAAAAGAAATACCACATGTTCTCACTCATTGGTGGGAGCTAAAAAATAAACAAATTAATTCACCCACATACACACACACAAAAAAACCGGGGGGGGGGGTGGGGAAGAAGATATAACAACTATACTTTTATGAAGTTGTTACAACAAGCAAACGGAAAGGACATTCTTGGGGGGGAGGGGAGAGAGGGAGGAGGGTGGGAGGTGTCGGTGATGGGCCATAATAATCATATACATTGTATATTGACAAAATAAAAATTTAACGAAAAAAAAAAAAAGTTTGTGGAAAAATAGAATTGAGAGATGATAAAAAAATAAAATAAAATAAAAATGAAAAACCGGTGAAGGATACACTTCAGAGAGCATGGTGTTGGTAACACTGTCACAGGTTCAGATCTCCGTACTGGTCAGCCGCCAAAAAAAAAAAAAATTTAAGTAAGTAAATAAGTAAAAGAATAAATTGCCATTGGTGGGGGGAAAAAGAGCCAAACAAACAGGAGAAGTAGAAAAGGGTGATGACAAAATGCAACCTTAGAAGGTTTGTAGCCAACATGCTAATATTATCTACAATGTAGTTTTACATTTATTCTACTTGACCAGGCTTCAGTCCTTTCTCTGGATAAATATCTTTAACCACTAAAGTGCTTATAAATGAAAAAAAGGCCACTAATGTGACTACTATCCTCAGGGCTTTGAACCAGTTGGGATAATGTGGCAAGAGGAAAACTTCAGTGTGTAATGCTACCCCCAAACCTATTACTACTGTGACTATGGCTTCACTGAGTCTTTCAGAAATAAGAAAGGCAAACCATGAGAACACAACAGGAGCCATACTATTAGCTAAATTTAGGAAGTCTGGTTTGGCTGGACTACTTTCTGGCAGAGCAAAACCCCATCTGACCCCTCCCAAGAAGGATAGGAAACTGGCTCCATAAGCCATCTGAGTAAAGGCTAATACAGGGATATAAGTCTTTGTCATCACCATAACCAGCGGTGGAGCAACAAAGGGGATTAGTCCTGCTAGAGTTACATATAATGCTGGCTTTGGGCTGTCAGGCAGGTAAGTGATGGTGCTTGGTGACCTGGCTGGAAGTATTGCTTGCTTCTGCTTCTTCTTAAAGCTGCATGGGGATGTATGATAGCACTGTGTCTTGCTTGTATACACTGGAAATGACAAGAAAAGCCAAGGCTTTGGAAACAAAGGGCAAATGTTCTGTTCGAGAGAGATCTTGCGAGAAAGTGTATTTATTCTCCTGCTGGCTCCCAGTCCCACTGTGAAAGGGTACTTTAGCATCTACAAAGAAAATAGAACCAGAAGACAAAATTTAAAAAAATATATATGTATACACCTTTCAAGATCTCAATCTGAAACAATAAAAACAAAACAAACAAACAAAAAAATCTACTTTCTGTTAGCACATCAAACTTTACAGAAAGGTTAAACTGACTACAGAGTGATGTTATTGCTGGTAAGAGTATTAAACAGCTATACAACATGCAAAAGAAACTACTGACTAGAAACCAGTGATATATTTTGACCTACCACTAATCTTATTCCATGAGAAAAATAATCTGAAAGAGAAGCAGGTAAAGACTAAGTCTTTACCTAGCATTTGGCCTTCTAAACTGCCTCTTCTATTTATAACTTGCAAAAGCAGCAGTACTAACTACTGTGAGAATGCTATTTTATATACAGGGTAGAAATCTACCTTCCAATTTAGCTTATAAACACTGCACTTTTCATAGCTCCATGCCTTTGTACATATCTCTACACAATTCTAGCTCTTACTACTTTTCTACCTAGGGAACTTATCTCTTCTTTCAAAATTCAGCTTGGCACTTTCCTTAACTCCTCTCCAGTCTGATTTAATGCTCCTGTAGTAAGTACCCTATGCACACTTACATCATAATTATTCTCACAGTGAATTAAAGTTGTGTGTTTACTTGTCTTTGTCTCAGTATACTTGAGAACCAGGATCATATTTTCTTCTTTGCCTTTTAAAAAAATTCCCAGCACCTTTCATTGTTCATGGCCAAAGTAATAACCTTTCCTGCTTATTCTATGCTTTAGTGAGCAGATGCCAGACTTCAACTAGTATACAGAACAAAAACTAAAAAAAGTGTTGGGTAAAGAAAAAAATGGAATTTATTTAAGAATCTTGGTGATTCCTGAAACATGCTATGAATGATACCATCCTGGGGCCTTTTCCCCTTTTGTCTCCATCTTAATGCTCTTCTCTCAGCTACCTGCATGGCCCATTTCACTCATTTATGATCACCCTGTGTATAAGTGCAATCCTATAGCTATTGTTGACACTTCCTATTCCCCTTCCCTGACTTATAGTTCTCCACAGCACTTACCACTTGACGTATTAAACATTTTACTTATTTGTATGTTACCCAACTATTCCCCCTCACCTGAATACATGAGGATAAGGATTTTTGCTTTTTTCACTACTACTGCCCCAACCAGACCAGTGCTTGGCAAATAGTGCTCAAACATTTTCTGAATAAACTAACCTTTGAAGATGCTTGAGAAAACTTCTGGATGGAGTGAAGCATACTGGGCTCTATTGAAAGTTTTGTTCAGGAAGATATCAGGCAGTTCGGATTAATGTATCTTTACAGCTAAGAGGAGGGGCTGAAATCAGAAGCATGTTGCTGTGTATAAAACAAGATGTCACTTAATTTTCCTCATTTTATACATTTTTAAGTAGTAGTAACTCATGAGAATTTCTTCCATATAACACAATTTTCTTTGAAAATAATCATTAATATTTTCAAAGTATCAGTAACACATTAAAGAAATAGATCTTTTCTTCACTGAACTGTTCTTTTAGCTGTGGCTTTTGGTGTTAATGAGAGAATAATGCATAGAGACAGATCTGGATTTTATAAATACCTCCCTCACTTTCTAGCTTTGTGACACTGGGCAAATAGCTTCCTTGAGTACCAGTTATCTCCTGTTTAAAACTGAGGCTTGTCCAGTTAGGTCAGTTGGTTAGAGCATGGTGCTGATAACACCAAGGTCCAGGGTTTGGTCCCCGTACAGGCCAGCTGCCAAAAAACAAGCAAAAAAACCACCTGAAGTTCATAGCTTCTCTATTCCCTCTATGCCCCCTTTCACCCCTTAGTTATCTACATTGGGGCTTAAGATTTTCCAGCTCAACCACCAAGCTGCAGCAAGAAGGGCCCTGGGTTCCCAAGCTGGGGACGTGGGAGGTGAGGGCTATTGCCACACCCCCCTAACATCTGCACCCAGCCTGGCAATGACCAAGCCACCGATGAAAGTCCCCCGGTCTTCCCTGTGGGAATGTTGGAGATACCACAAACCTCAATCCTGCCCCTCCTCCTCCCTCTTTCCATCACATTTCCTTCCCCTTTCCCCTCTCCCCATTCCTCCCAACTGCTCTGCAACAAAATCATAGAATGTAAGAAAAATATATTAATAAAATAAACCTGTGATGAAAAAAATTAAAGTTTACAGTTCAAAATAATGACAGTAGCAACCAATACAATTTAGCTGTGAGCTAGGCAATATAACTATTTTATATACACTAACTCATTTAATGATCACAATAACCTCATCAACTTGGTGCTGAAATACAGTATAGCCTGTTAAAGTGCAGACCTTGGTGTCAATCTGGTTGGAATCCTGGCTCCACCACTTAGCTGTGTGACTTCGAACAAGTTATTTAACCTTGCTATGGTGCAGTTCACTCACCTTTGAAATCAGCATAGCTACTACTTCATAGGGTCGTTGTAAAAATGTAGCAAGTTAATACATGTAAAGAGCTGAGAACTGTCCCAGACACAACGTAAACACTCAAAAAATATTAGCTACTATTCCCAGGTTACACAGGAGGGAGTGGTTAAGAACTCTGTAGAATGTAAGCAGCCAGTAAGAGGCTGTGTGAGAGTATGAATCCAGATTTGTGTGACAGTCCCATACGTAAAGAAACAAGTAGGCGGTTAAGTTAGTCCAGGCCTCAGAGTAGTTTAAATGACACCCCCCCACCCCCCGCCGACCCACAGACCCAAATACCCGCAGGGCCCACATCCTCGCTTTTGCTCAGAATCACTTTCTTCCTGAGGACCTTCCGGACCACCCTATTTAAAACCTCAACCACCTTTGGGAACTCCCTATCCACTGTGGCACGTGCTTTCCAACCCATGGGTATTAAAGCGAAAAAGTGACAGCCTAAAGCCGGGGACCGCGATTGATGCGGGAGTTAAAGACAGAGACCCGATAGTTAATCCGCCCAATTTATGTTGAAAACACTCAATATTCCCATTGCAAACTGCTAGAGTCAAACTGAAATTTGAAAAAAAGGAGGTGGAGTTTAGGCGCAAGGATCTTCGGGAAACTCTGCCCCTTAGTGGTAGCGTCTTCTATTTAGTACCAACCCTTAGTGTCCCCCGTTCCGAATCTGCACGTTCGACGGCTCTGATACTTGCCAGCGTCGCGCGGGGAAACGGAAAAATAAGCCGCAAGAACACCCAGGGACTAGCAAAAAGGCACTTCCGGCAAGTGAAGTTAGCCTCCTCACTTCCTGAGACCTAAAAAAAAATGAGTCCGGATGGGGACTTGACCGGCGCTAAATGGTTCCCATGCCCGGCTTTCCATCTTGGGAAGATTCTTTTAAAAATCTTAATTCAATTTAGTTTTAGTCAGCTGTTAAACAAGGTACCTGAACACTCCTTGGCTCTCTGTTCCAGGGTTCCCAGCCAGCGGAATCTGGCCGTAGAGTTCGGGAAGGTAGAGTGCGACTACTGGCACAATCTCAGAGTGATGGCGATGAAGGAAGGTAAGATACTTGGGAGTCTAGGCCAGTGTAACTGGCCCAAATGGCTTGCCATCTCCTGAACTAATTTTTTACTTTGCAAAACGATAGAGTTTACAGAATCGACGGGACACATCTCACTCCGCATTAGGGTCCTTAACTACTAATATTATCTAAGGGGAAAACCTTGTTTCTACTTCCATGACCTAGGGGCAGGATGTTCACTTCCATGAAAAGTGTGCTGATAAGAGCCTTATCGGGGTGATGCGGTAGATCAGGTAATTCCTCCTGTCACCCTTGGCTTTAATTCATTTCTCGGCTATGTGACCTCGGGCAAGTCTCTTCCCTCCTCTGGGCCTCTATTTCACAGTCTGTCAGAGGAAATGGCAGCGAGCAATTTGAGCGTCTTTCCCTAAGGATAAAGCTGAAGACAAGTAACAGCAGATTTCAGCGGCCCACACCAGCCAGTTCCTCCATTCCTCCAGATTCTAGGTAGCCCAGCTTCCTGGTTGCCAGCCATTACATGGCTTAGCTTTCTGTGCAGAATCGGGCCTCAGCGAAGTCTTCGTTATAGTAACCTAGGCTTTTTTTTTTTTTTTTTAAAGATGACCGGTAAGGGGATCTTAACTCTTGACTTGGTGTTGTCAGCACCACGCTCACCCAGTGAGCTAACCGGCCATCCCTATATGGGATCCGAACCCGGGGCCTTGGTGTTATCAGCACCGCACTCTCCCGAGTGAGCCACGGGCCTGCCGTAACCTAGGCTTTTAATCGAACCTAGGCTTTCACTTTTATTTCCTTGTCTGTCACGGCAGCGCCGCCTTTTTCTGTCATCCGATACCCAAAGAGACTTCGGGTAGGAGAAACGGCTTCTCCGCCCTAGCAAAGACGCAGGCTCCAGCAATAAACCCGCCCTGTGTTGGGGCGGGGGCATGACGCCTGCCGTCCCGAGGAACTACCACTCCCAGCAGGAAGCGCGCTGGGCTCCGCCGCGCAGGCTTTTGGAGCCGGGCCCTGTGGCCCACTGGGGACTGGTCTCAACGACGCGCACTGGAAGGAAAGAAGGAGCGGAAGGTGGGAAGGAGTCGGGAAACCCTTGCTCCTCCGAAACCAGTTTGCTAGTAATATAGAGGTAGGGGATGCGTGCTTGCCCACTGGCAGGGTGTGGGAGGGTGAAGAAAGAAGGGGCGGGGAAGATAGGGCACATATACACACCCACCCACTCAGCGCCCAGGCTCTGGTATTGGGCAGGAAGATGAGGGGAGTGCTGAACTCGGCTGGTCTCCGCCTCTCAAGCGGCGCGAGGAAAGGCGGGGACGGCCACGCACCGCCTAGAGCCAGGATGAAGGAAGCTGGGGGCGGGGCAGGGAATAACCGCCGTTCATGCGGGAACGTTGGCGGCTTGGGGCGCGGACCGACCCCTGCAGGGTCACCGGAGTAAAGTTCGGGCGCATGCGCTCCTGCGCTCCTGCGAGTGGGCGCGTGTGGGGCGGGGTTGGGTGGGGGAGGGGTAGAGCCGGGCTGGTCGTCGCTCCTCCTCCTCCAGCAGCTCTGCCCCTCCTGAGCCTTGTGGGTCGGGCAGCCATTTTGGGAAGAGCTTTGTTATGGTTGTGAGATAGCCATCTCTGCCGGGTCGAGAAGCTCGGGACGCGTCCTCAGACGCCGCATTTCGTTCTTGACTGTCACACCGCTTCTGTCCGGTGAGTGGGAGTTCCGGACAACGGGGCAGTAGAGGATCTCGGAGTCGTCCTGGCGTGGGGCTCCGCCCGGTTCCTGACGGGCCGACTATTAAAACTAGTTTAAGGAAGCTCTCAGACAGGTGGTTAGGTGTAAGACCGCCCAGGGAGGGACGAGCGAAGCGCACGGGCCGTGTGGTTCAGATGAGAACCCCCCCACCCCCGGGCGTGGAGCTGTGCACACGAGCGTCGCCGCGGCTCTGCGAGAGCGCTCCTACTTCAACTTTGGTCTTCGGGTCGGAACGCTCACCTGCGGCTCTCTGGCTCCTCTCCAGGCGTTCCGGCTTGGTGGTGGTTGAGTGGCTTGGTTGACGAGTTTCTTTTTCTTTCCTTCTTAAAATAAGAGCCAGGGACTTTTGTTTTCCTATGAAGGAAACCTGAGGAGAAAGTGTAAGTCAAGTGTGGGGTATCTAAGGGGGAAAGAGGAGCTTTAACCCCTGGTGTCCCGGTTCTCTATGGTTGCGAGGTGTTTTCGTCTAGATTGTCTATCCATTATTTGCCAACTCCCTCGAGAAGAAAGCTGGTCGATCTTGAAGTGTTTCAACGAGTATTTTTTGTTTGTTTTAAGTCTACTTTTGTTAATTTCACACCGTGAAGTTCAAAAGAAAGGCTGAATCTAAAATGGCTGTAGTTTAGGGAAGTGCCTTGCACTTCGATAACTTAAATTCGTTAACATGTCTTAAAGTTTCAGTTGTTTCCACATTAGCTGAATCTTGATCTTTTGGCTTTTTTGCAATTGTTGTCTTTAAGACTCTTTATGATAGGTGAAGAAGATTGCTTACTCCGGAAGTTTACAAAAAACGGGTGCGGGTTTTTTGGGGGGTGCGGTAGTTGTTTATAGTTCCGAAATTTTGCTGTGGTGTCAATTTTATCTGCCAACTTTGTGGTGCCTATTTTTTATCTGCTCTGAGGTTGGCTTGTCATATTTGTTGAAATACTTGCTCTTAACTTTGATATTTATTGCTTATCAGGAAAACATGGAGTTAATGATGGTTCATGTTTTAGTTCAGCATAGTAACAAAAGTCACGTTCTTGTGTAAAAATCCCATCCCAAAGTAAAGTGATGATAGGCTTCAGGAGATTTAAATTTGTAATTTGGTGGGTTGCTGATATTTTCTAAGGTCTTTACATCTATTACTTGAAATCCAGGCACTGTTAAGTTTGGGACATTTACTAGAGTAGTATGAGACAATTGAACAAATGGAAAGCATACTTTAGATATGGAGTACCTGCTTGTTTCCTCTTAAACAAAAGTCTTTCTTTCTGTTGGCTTAAAACAAACAAACAATAGATGCAGAAGTTTAACTGAGAAACAAAAAGGCATAAATTGGAAACCAAAAACAGTAAATTGCAGTGTATATAAAGGCGCTTGAGTTTCAGGTTGTAATCTGTTTAAAAGATAAAAGTAGTAAAATGCTATTCGTGAATGGGAACCTTCAAATTAAAAGTAAAACTGTCATCTTTCCTAGGGAGTCAGTTTCAATAGACCTTCCTGCATTCTTTTTTTTTTTTTTTTTCCTGACCAGTAAGGGGATCGCAACCCTTGGCACAGTGTTGTCTGCACGCGAACGCACTGGCCATTCCTATATAGGATCTAACCCGCGGCCTTGGCGCCACTCTCC